ACCAAAAGAAATGGAAGCACATGTTGGTACTTTCAGGAACAACTATAGGCTCTCCTCTCCATTGCTGAAATCAGGATTTAACCGGTGTTGTGAGGATGTCTTGTAACCTATAGCCAAACTATTATAAATTCAATCAATGACTTGGATTAGCAAATTAATCCTATTCCAGGACATTCGTTTCCAAATTCTCAGCCAAAATTTCTCTGGGTCCAATCATATCCCTCTAATTTAAATCTTCACCATTCACCACCATATTCCAGATATATGGCCCCGGAAGCAAAACTATTTGGATCCATAAACTCTGGAAAGTCGTCCAGTCTGAGCACATTATGCAGCTGCATTAAATTCAACTCTGCTGGGTATAGTCTCCATTCTTGGAACTCTGCCCACAATCTAGCAGGCAATTGGTTCTGATGCAAATTTATAAATCTATTGGTTTCTGCCTGTGGAAATTGTCAACGATAGGTACTTCCTGTTCTTTCACCTTCCTTAAAGAATGTGTTGGACTTCTAGATCTGATCTTCTCTCATGCTTTAATCTGTCTCTCAGGACTCTCCAGTATGTCTGGTCAACCCGACAGCAATTTCCTCTCCATTCTATTCCATTATCAGGTGCCTATGAGAAGTAACATTACATCTTGTGTTAACTCTGTTTACTCTACTCCTAGCGTAATCTGCTCAATATTGGCTATTAGTGTAGTTAAAAATTCACTGAATAAAGCATTCTGGAAAAATAACAAATTCAAATGGTAGTATAACAACAGGCCTGTATCATCTACTTCCGATTCTAATAGAGCGAGCATAATGGACTCAATAAGGGAAAAAATGCTTGTGACATCCACTTATATAAGGACAAATCCACTTATATAAGGACTCCACTAACCTCAACCATGACATCTAGTGGAGTGGAGTCTACTAGATGTCATGGTTGAGGTTAGTGGAGTCCTGCAGTTCAGTGGTTAGAGCACTCGCCTTGCGAGCAAGATAGCTGGGTTCAATTCCAGGCAGGGTGAAACCTTGGGCAAGTTTCCTTACTCTACACGCCTAATAATAATCCCTCCAAAGCGAAGCACATCATTTTTGATCCACGACTGTTTGCGGGACACTGCTGTGCGCAATTGGCTGCCGCATTTCGCCCACAAATAAACAGTCAATTTACTTTACAGCATATTCTGTGAAGCACTTTTAGACATCTAGAAGATGTGAAAAGCGCTATATCAAATGCAAGGATTATTATTTATCATTATTATTATATCTATTATTTAGATATCAGTATCATTAAGGGAATGTTTTATAAATGGACTTTTGGTCCTTGATCATCTTGCTACAACAATGAATTTGATAACTAAGGAAATAAAAACTTTGTATTTTAAAGGATATGAAGCTCACAACGTTATAGGCTGAGAAGCATTAATTGCAGAACCATTCAAGGGAAACTCACTGTCAGACTCAACTAAGGCAGCTGTAGATTTCAGTCATACATCTCTTCCATCACCACTCTATCACCTTATAAAATCCTTCTTAGATCTACTTCCATAACAAACTATTTTGGAAACTAATATCCTAACTCTCAATATAACTTATAGTATCCACAAAATATACCAGAATCAGGCTACACTCAAGAAAATATCATTAGGTCACTGTTTTGTTTTCTAAATTAAATTAATTTAAATAAATTATAAACTTCCTTTTATTTAAAAAAGGGCAACTGAACTGGAGTCTAAAGGAATACTTTATTCAGTGGGTGAAAAAAAACCTTAATCTTTAAGCAGTGAGAAATCTGCTTCTTAATCGTATACTTGAAACCCATCATTTATTCCTGCACTAGAGTCACTCTTGTTGATGCGCAACATGAAGGAGTTGGAGAGGCTCCACAAAGTTTATTGGCAACAGAGCTTTTGAGACAACCTGACAGCTAATTTGGAATTACGTAACCTCTGAAACAGTCAGTACTTGAATAGAAAAGACGATGCTAGTGTTGGGCTATTCTAAAATCTGCTCAAATCATCTACTTACATTAATAGTTTATAGAGCCTTTGCAACACCTCCCTTTAACATCTCACTGACAGGCCAAGAGGGGAAGTTTCAAAAGTGTTGCTTGGCTCGATTTATAGTGGAAGCAGTCCAAATCAAAATTATTCTCTTTAGACTCATTTCCTTTTAATTGACCCTGAAGTCTTAATTAATCTATATATTTCATCAAGATTAATAACAGCCCATGGAGTAGCATTTATTGAATTCCTACCTTTGGAACCCAGCTATTCTGGTTGAATAGTGATGAAAGATTGTGATTAAAATCATATTGTTAAACAGAATTGTAAAACAAAGACTTGGCTTAGTTGACCCTTTCGTCTGTGCGTGTCTGTGTGTGTTCCAAGACCTACGTGAGATCTGGAGCTCATAGTTTAACTAACCCTTCAGTGCAGTTTTGGGGGAGCCCTGCCATTTCAGAGATATGGATGAAACCGTTAAACTGATATCCTGTGTGCCTGTAAAGAACCAATGATACTATTTGAAGAGAAACGTTTTTCCCAGTGACCTCGCCAAAAAACCTTCACTTCATGGTGGTTTTTGAGACCATGCTGTGTGACGCTTGGCTGAGTAGAAATACACAATCACTACTTGACAGCAATCTGTGAAGTACTTTGACATGTCCTGATGTTATAGGTGCTATATCAAATAGAAGGATCATTATGGCCATGTGGTCAATTGGACCTGCTCCTTCCAACAGATCACCAACAATCTACACACAAGGTCTTTACTCTCGAGAGAGGTAAGCAACTATAGGACAATGGAGTCCAGCATACAATTTGTTTACAAATTGCTGTTTTGTGAATACATGACCCAGGTTCAATGCCAATGACATAGAAAATGGTGTATGTAGTTCTTGGTGAGTTGCTTCCAGTACATATGCAATTGACACATTCAGTTACACCACAAATTTCGTCACACAATCCACGACTGTTTGTGGGACCCTGCTGCGTGCAATTGGCTGCCTGGTTTTGCCCACAAAATATACAATCAATTCAAAGACGTGATAAGGCAAATGCAAGTATTATTATATTATTATTATTATATTGGACCTCAACTTGAGGATTTGAAAATCTCCTGAATTTTAAAAGGCATAAAACAAAAATCTAGACTATTAACCTGACATTATAATCAATGCATTCACTCTGGACTAGTGGATTTCCACAAGCATTGGTATGGTTCCATGAACCATTGTGTTCAATTAGAACAGTTGTGTTCAATTAGAATACCTGTGTAATATTCAATCTAATTTTTAATAATGTAGAGTATTAATACTTTTTTTTAATAAAAATGATCTAATTACCACACTTTTGTGGTGAATCCATTCTTTACATCTGTGAGTAAAAACATATAAAATTTTTAGTTCCCCTTGAGACTTGCTACTTTAGTACTTGTACAAAACCAAATCCTTTCTATTGACTGGCTTCCAAGTCTGGTGACGTTGCAACATTGCTTCGTCCAATCACTGTTTACAATAATGATACAACCTGAAACCAGGATAATATGCAAAACTGTGATGCTATCAGTGGAAGGCAGTGGAAACCTAGTGAGGATTTAAGTGAAACTTTTTGTCTCTTCATCAAAGCAATTTTTTTCTACCTAATATATATATTATATATGGTAGTATAATATTATTAATATACTATAATATTTATATTATAATATATATATCAATATATGTGTGTATATATATATCAACAAAAAAAGTACGTTTAAATCTTCAACTATAATTGCTTCACAATTTCCATCAATGGAGAGTGATTCCCTTGGTGCATTTTATGGAATGCTTTTGACCTTGCTCCTCACTCTCCAGGTTTAAAGAGTAGCCAGATGTTTGGTGCAGCTGCAGATTTTTTTGTCTATTTCAGTTATTTCAGCAGCTTTATTTTTTTTTCCCTCTCCTTTTTCATTCCCCCACTTGACCGTGTTCTCAAACTCTGTCCTCTCTAGCTACAAGATCAGGTTGAAATATTTTGACCAAGGTATTAAATTGAGGGAAAGTAACCTTGTACTGCATAAGATATAAACATATTGTACCTTTCCCCTCTCAACTCTGCCACTACCCACTGTTTGTGAGACACTGCTGTGTGCAATTGTCTGCTACATTTTGCCCACAAAATAAACAGTCAGTTCACTTTACAGTGTATTCTGTTAAGTGTTTTGAGACGTCTCAAAGTCGTGATAAGGCGCTGTATCAAATGCAATGATTATTATTATAATATATAGGTTTCTATTTTATAACTCAACTGTGAAGTGCCTTGAGATGTCTCGAAGACGTGATAAAGTGCTCTATCAAATGCAAGCATTATTATTATTGTATCCTCTAGGTTTTCAGTCATCTGCTAACAATAAGTTGTGCCTGCGATCAGTTTAAACACTCTCTCCCAGGTTCCCTTTGAAACTTTGTCAGCCTAAACTAATTAAATTTCCCTCGTCAGTCTTATCTCACCCTTGTTGCTCTTCCCTAATGAACATGAATTGTTTTTCACAAGAACATGATTTTGTACAAGGCCATTACAACAACAAGATTACATTATGAACAGGAAACTGTAGTCTGCAAACTCAGGGCTATCAAGTCCACTGTAAACCCGTTTTATAAACAAAGAGGAGTTTTATAAACTGGGTTCTACTGTAACAAGAATAATCTACAGTATCCAATTGAATTCAGAATGCCAAAAAAATGCACACAATGCTCCAAATGTTACCTTATGAATGAATCAAATGTTATGTTCGCAATAAACAGTACAATGTTTACAAGGGAAGTTAAGAGAGAGGGTGGAATGAAGATGACCCTGAGGCCCATTTATTAAAATAATCTGGTTCAGCTCAGGTTCTTGCAATTTATTAATTAGCCTGGTTAATGGAAACCTAATGTGCTGTGTACTTTCAGTCAATAGTTCCTGATCAATCATTTTCATTTTCCACCTTGGCCAATATCCATCGAGCCATCGTTCAGTCAGATTTTCATACCTGATTCATCGGTGTCTTGGTCCTCGAACGAAGCGACCGACAATCCCATTTCCATGCACTTCTTGCTGTGAGCCTTGGACTTCATATGCTTGGTCAAGTTTCCTTTAAAATAATCAAACTACAAAGTTAACATTTTCTGGAACAGCACCTCTCATATAAAATGTTAGCTTCACATGAAGCAATTTAATCACTCGCTTGTACATCTCAGCAGATAAGAATTTTCATATACATTAACTGCTTATGGATTGGGTTCTCTTCATACTGATGTGACCAATTTAATGTTGGCTTTTTGGAGGAATTAAACCAGTATCCCACAGCAGTGCAGGTAATGTGGTACTTACCATTGACAAAGTGGTGGGGAGATAGCAGTAACACAAATAGAAACAATGTCAAATTGTTTCAAACTTTGACAAGTCTCAGGTGCAACAGTGCGTGCCGACAGCCCATTCAACTACAGAGCAACTTAATCAGTTCCTCACCTGACTTTTACACATCCAGTTAGGGCTTCTCCTCAGTAGGTGTAGCAATTAAAACCACAAACCCTGGCTTTTCTCCTTCTCAACCTGGAACCGCTGAGACCAGCATCCCAGCTGCTCCAGCTGAGATCAACTAACTTAGTACATACTGGGAATTGAACCCCAAATCAACTTGGTCTAAACAGCTTGAGTACTGAACTGGACTTCACATGAGCTGGACTGAAGGTGCCTTTTACTCTCAGAATATTGGAGGAGGTCCAAATTTAAAAAAAAGAGTTTGAGATCACGATTTGAGTGTAAATACGGCGAAACAAAAAGATCCAGGATAATGTAAAAATTACTGTTCTGTATTTGAATGTAGGATGCCAGCCAGATTGTTGATCAAAGGCATGGACACAGACAGCTCCATATATTGAAATCACCAGTGACCAAAATGTTGTAATGATTTCAAATGACAAAGTCAAAATAAGAATCACTTGTGAAGAATATCAAAGTAATTAATTTTCAATTCTACTTCTTCAAAAAAATCTAGACTGAATCATGTGTTAATTTGATGTCTGATACCCAATTAAAGAAGGAAGATCTTCTGGCTTGCAGATGACCCATCCTAATTAGCTCTAAGAGCCATACAAAAGGCTGTGTTCAGTCTACTGTTTAAGGAACTGTTCACTGGACAATGCTCTTCACAGAGAAATATCTAAAGGTTCTCAAAAATAGGGCGGGGGAGAAATTTCACCCAAATCTTGATTTACTCGATTTATCTCAGAGGATTTGACAAATTTGTAAATAATCTTAATTTTCTACATGTTGACTGAATTCAACAACATTTGGCTCTAAAATGCCACGTCAGTAGAATTAAAACATTTTTATGTAACAAAAACCCTGAACTGGGTATTGTGCATTGTGCATCATTTGAGGGCAGTGATTTCAAATGGCAGTTGAAAACATGAACATTGGGGACTGTACACAAGATGCATTTTCACACAATGTGCTAAGACTGGTTTGTCAAAATAATCATTCTTTTTACTGTAAAACACTCATGTACCTTTAGTTTTGAAGGAAAAGTTGCAGTAGTTGCAGTGGTAAGGCCGAAGGTCGGTGTGGGTACGAATGTGCTTTCTTAGCATACTGGGCTTTTTACAACGGATCCCACATTCCTCGCAAATGTACTTGCCCCTACCTCGTCCTCGAACATACACATACTCTTCGTTTGATTTATACCTTTTTGTAAAACAAAACGTTCTTTGTTATTTTAACTGTACATTTTCATTCCTCCTGGTCTTAAGAAAACATTTATAACAGGGTTCACCACATTTTAAAATGTGCTGTATTATGGAAAGAATGCATAGACAGAAAGGTCTATTTCACAGGTGCATTATTGTTTAAAAAAAGTTTGGTAAATCACGTTATCAAAATGGCTCAAAGCACTTAACAGGATTTTTCTATAAAATATAATGACTGTATCTATGTCAAGAAGCTATAAACTGTGCCAGGCTGACACCTTTGTAATTATGAGCACATGCAATTATTGCTGTCAAAGAACATCCCAGTTGAGTTATATAGTCTAGACTAGGTGAACAATTTCGTACCAAATTAGATATTTGTAAAAATTGTTACAAATCGGAGGTAATTTTGTGCTAGTGACCCAGACCTACTGGAACATGGGTGATATTGGGGCAATTTACACAAACAAAATACACAAGAGAGAAGGAAGTAAGATATTAGGGAGAGGAAATTAGGATGGTGGAGGCTCAAGTGGGTTAAGCACTCCAAAGCATTATTTTGACATAAAAGCAAGTTGCTGATGTTGCCGAGTATAAATACTAGTACGAATTAGTTGGGCCAAATAACCAATTTCGGTGTTGCATGAACCCAGCTACTATATTACTCATAATTCTTGGTAGACAAGAAGACCCGTCAGACTTCACAGCATTCTGAAATGACAAGTGTGTACTGTAATCAGATACATATAATACAGCTGAGAAACCACACAGTAACCAGAATAATATGAAACGTAATGTAATTACAGGAAGCACCATCACTGAGGTTTTGTGTTGAGTATATTCTACTGTAAAATAAAAAGAAGATTTTTGAAATGAACTTGCCCTCCATCGAAGATCCTGATTCGCCTTGGTTCACTTTTCATTGCAGAGTGTAATTTGTCAAGATCACCACCTTGTTGAGGCTCATGCGAGTCCTTACTGTTACTTTCATGAGGAGAAAGTGTTCGACCGACCAGTGCCTGTCCAAGACAAGTAATCAGAAATAATTGATATAAACAGAGATGGATGTCCATTATTTTTAATACTGTACCAATGTTTTTTAAAAATGGCTTTTATTTACCATTCAATCAGTATATTACAATATTCTTACTCAAATTCTAAGACATTTAGGAAATCCGATTTTAGACAATCCTTGCGACATCTCAAAGTACTTCACAGAATACACTGTAAAGTGAATTGAGTGTATATTTTGTGGGTGAAACGCGGCAGCTATTCGCGCATAGCAGTTTCCCACAAACAGTTGTGGATTGAAGTCACCAATTTATTATTATTTTGGTGATGTGCATGAAGAAATAAAATTACTGTTATTAGATAAAAGGTGCACTATCTTAGAAAGTATTGTTATGATAATTGTTTATATGTACCCAAACACATCCTTTCTAAAAACATTCACACTTAAATCTCAACATGACCAATACCTAAACATCTGATCTTCCATATAACCGCCTACATTTTGCACCTTCCCAGAACTGATCAGCAGTCAGATTACTGTCATTGACAGTAAATGTATACAATGAAGAAAGGTATGATTGACGGTCATTATTTTGGAGTTTAGTATCCTCAAGTCAAACCCCTACTGTATCTTGAGCCTTAGTTCAGTCTTAGCATTTGGGCAACAATACAGTTGGCTTTTATACTGAGATCACGACTCACATTTCTCTTCTCTGTCCTTAGGTTTGAGAGACAAGACTCATTTAACTGAACATGGCTTGTGCCCATCATTCTTATTATGATGTAACTTGAGAAGCGTACTTTATGGTAGATTATAATTTAATCATGTAATAAGAATGAAGGTTTATTAACAGCTCAGTGGCCCCAGATATGCAATAAAATCCCTTAGGAAGCAATGTACAAAGCAATAAAAGCCATGTTGGAAAACACCAAAGCCACAAACTGAGGCATTAGCACAGTAGAAAGAAGCTTTTGCCAAAATAATCAGCAGCCCTGGTATTTTATAGCTAAAGTAATCTGGTTTGAAGGCAAGAATTTTTCCCTGAAGGCTGCAAAAGTTCAAAATGTGTTCCTCGTCCCATCAGCTGAAAGAGAAGCTGTAGCGTGCAGCATTTCTCTGCTAAAGAACTAGGAATCTTTGGCAAATGATCAGCTGAGACATACAATGGAGTTTCTAAGCAGCTGCTCTCTGAAAGAGCAGATCTATTTAGCACTTTCCTCATCAATTGAACAAATTCACAAACCCTCCAACTACAACTCGTTTACCCACTGGCATAAAAGCTAATAAACCATAAACCATTGTACTGCATAAAAACAGCTCTGACATCAGTCGACTAATAATCATCTGCACACCATGCCTTGCTAAAGTCTACACCTCAATTTCTTCCATCAAAACCTTGGATGTCACCATAGATCTTGCCAGTTAATATGATTGGGTGAATCAGCCACTGACTCACTGTGCAGATAACAAAGCAAGAAATGCAATGAATTTCAAGAAGTAACCTTAAAAAAATGTATTTGAATGGATCAGACAAAAGGTTGCAAAGAAGATAGTTACAATCTCTCCAAGGAGTCACTACAATTGGCTGCTGCATTTCACCCACAAATAAACAGTCAATTCACTTTACAGTCATTCTGTGAAGAGCTTTGAGATGTCTAGAAGACGTGAAAAGCGCTACATCAAATATAAGGATTATTATTATTATAAATAGATCCATAAAAGGACAAAATGTTGGATTTCAAACAACTACATCAAAGGTTGATAGATAGCATATCAAAACCCCAAAAAGGTTGCAGGAACTATTCTGGCACCAGTAAATAAGATGTTTCCATTATACTGTAGCAATCTGAAGTGAAATTTGCTTTAGTGTCAAAGCTGAAACATGATTAATACACACTAACTGTACAAACAAACCAATAAATTCTTCCTTATGAGAGAAATAAATAGAAGCAAGGAAAATTGAAGAATTCGCATGATTTTTCTGGTCAAATGGTGACACGTGTGGAAACCCATCATCATGCTTAGAAGTATCCAAACCAAACTGAGTACCATGCGTTCCACCCATAAATAGAAATCCCCATGTATTGGAATGGAAGGAGGGACGCATTCTGCTTACTTAATTCTGGAGAGTATTAGGTGCAGACTGGCAAGAGCCAGGGTTTGGGGACCCCACCGTGTGCAATGAGGTACGACTGCAGCTGAACCAGCTAAAACCGCTTAGCTTCTCATTGATATCACTATCTAGCAAGCTTTCTCACTGCTTGTCCAGCTCAGACCACCCTATCCATTAGGGCTTTGGTTTGCAGGGTTAACAGGAGCTGAGTGGAATGAATCCCTGCCCTCAGTGACTGGTCTGCCCTTCAATACTGTGGATCCGTCTGGCTCAGGCACCGGACTACCAAGACTACCACAGAGAGTTGATTTGATTCTGACATTCCATTGCCAAGTGGAATGTCACCTTGGCGCCAGATCAGGTCCAAGGAGACCCCACTAACCCCCCACAGGAGGATTGAGCTGAGACAATTTTATGACATTACTTTTATGCCATAAAATATTTTATTATGCTTTAACAGCACACCAACACATCCCATTTAAAATCAAAGGGGGACAAACATTGGTGGGGGCGTGGGGGGGGGGGGGGGAAGAGATTTTGATTGTACTGCGTTTGGTACATTTACTGACCAACAGAGAATCATACAATACAAAATGGCATTTATTTAGAGCCTTTCACTTCGGGAGAACATCCCAATGTGCTGGTTGAAAAAGAAACATGATTAACAAAGAACCATGTTGGAAGCACCTGGCTGGAAATTAAATGTTTACATTAAAGAGAAAAGTGGCTACATAATGATTAATTAAAGTCATCATGATGTAATTAAAATACACTACTAACATCGGAATGAGGAAAATAAATATTTTTGGACAAATATTCTTGAATAAGTCTTAATGTGGAAATCAAAATAACTATGATATAGCGCTTTTTGGACTATCAGAAGATTAATTTAAATTATAGTTATTGCTGCTCTTTTGCATAAGTTATTGGCTAGAATTAAAATAATTGACAATACCTTGGACTTATCAGCTTTCCACTTGCTTGAAGGTACCAATATGCCAGAGCGAGACAGGGTTGTTTTTGCTTGGGTGTACGTTAGTTTCTTATTCTTTTGTTTCGAGCTGAGAAGACCAAGTACAACCTTTGTGGGCAGGCCTAATGGATTGAGATTGTTTGAGCTAATTGGCCAACTGGCATATGCGGAGGTCTTTTTGTCTGCCTGCTGTATATGTAAAGGCTTGCACTTTGTTAAATAACACCAACTGAAACTCGTTGAAGTCTTCAGAGTTGAAAGCGATGCACGTTGTACATTTCGTGTGCTTGTTATTGGAAAAGAAGCTCCCACCTTTGTCCTCTCCAAGTTACTCATTGGCTGAATTTGGTTGTTTTTATTAAATGGTAACTTATTACCTTGAATGTTAGTTGATGACTTCAACAAAGTGTTATTCAACTGTGGAGAAATGGAAGATATGGGTGCAGGTGATTTTTTAATAACGGTACACGAAGGGGAAGGAGAATGGCTTGAATGTTCGGATTTTAATGTCTCTCTTGAAATTACAGTTCTTTCCTGGCAGCTTGCAACTGCTGAAACCTCCTGGTTGGACTTTGTTGGTGAGCTATTAAACTCTGAAGTCTCAGGATAGTACTGTGGAGTACCTTCCTGATCAACAGGCAATGGAACATCCACCTGATCTGTGGTGCAAACTTGCCTCACCAACGTAGGCTTCTTGTGCTTATTGGAGTCAAAAGATACCATGCAGTGTAACTGAATGGATGTAAGATTACTATTGCTTACAGATCCATTTTCATCCTTGGCTCTTTTTTGTTGATTTTCCATCGCAATGTCCAAGCTGTTAGCTGGTGACAGCATGCGTTTACTTGATACTGTAGTTTCCTGGTGTGCAAGGAGTTCATCTGATAAAATCTTTTTAGTATAATTCTGTGAGACAATGTGAACAGGTGAATTTCTGCTTTCACTTTGTGAATTGCAGTTTTCAGGAACAGCAGACATTTTTATTTTAGAGGTTACTTCACTTTCATGGAGTTCTGGATAATCCTTTGCTGTTGTAAGCATCTCCTTATCCCTGGTTGAATTGTCAAGATCACAAATAACTGGAGATAGCTGGCTGGATTGGTCTGGTGTTAGTAAAATCTGTGGCAGCGTTGTAAACGTACCAATGTTATAAACAGACTTATTACTGCCAACAGGCACGACAAGAGAAGCTAGAGGTTGTATATTGCTAGGTGATTGGGCTGTAATTACTTGCTGAACCTGTGGTACCAAATACAAATTTGAAACAATTTCAAGTGACTTTGTGGAAACACTTGAAGTCAGCCCACTTGCTTCAATAGTAACAGGGATTGGAAGAGAAATTATTGGCAATTGAGGTGCAGCACTGGGAAGCAAACAGGGTTGGCATGGGTGCAGTTGGTATTTGGGAGCAAATCTATTATCTTGAGGCTCAGAAGACTGTGATATACGTTGACCTAAAGTATTTTGGGCTAAATGACCTGGCATTACATTTGCAAGCAATATGTTTGTGTTTTCGTGCGGGAGCTGACTTTGGATGGGCCTCTGAACACTGCCAGGTAGTCCCTCAGGCGGTTGAATATGAATTAGATTGTTCACGCTTACATCTTGTGCGGAAGACATGGATTCATGCTGTGTCGTGTGCTGAACTTGCAACGCGCAAGATAATGGATGCTGGGAAGTTAAAAAGGACACAGGCCTATGAGCTAAAGGACCTTTGAGATGGGGCACAGCAGAAATCTGCACAGAGAGATTTTGTTGAAATAAGTTGGAAGACACAACTTGAGGTTGAGAAGTTTCTGGCCCAATGCTTAAAGACATTTGTCGCACAAGAGGCCCTCTTCTTCTTTCAATGAGAGGTACAGATTCACATGTTTCTATTGGAGAAGAAATCAATGGTGAAACCATTTCCATAGGAACTACAGGCGACACAGACCTTGTTGGGGATATACTACCACAATCAAATGACTTGCTGCGAATTCCTGCAATGGCCTCCATAGAATGTTGCAAAGAACTACTTTGTTCAGATGCAGCGCGTCTCATTTCTCTGTAGTGCGAGCTGGGCACAACAAGTGTATTCGTGCCACCAGGCAGTGTAAGAAACTCAGATGATTTATTGATTGCTTCTGCCTTTGAAGGACTCTCGATCCTTGGAGCATCATCCCGATCAAAGGAAGCTGATAAACTAGAGCAACGAGACAAACTGCTATCCCGACTGAGGCTTCTCGACAGTGTAGAATCAAAGCTCGATTCACCAGATGAATGTTCCATTTCAGCTAAGCGTATCCTTTTCTTCTTCGGTGGGAGTTTCTCGGTTGGTAGCTTGGAAAGTGTCTCACTTCGCTGAGGCCAGTGAAATGTTTCAGTCCCTTTTTCTTGATCATTTCCTTGGGGTTCCTGCAATCGGTCTGGTTCTTCTGTAACCAAGATTTCAGGAACTTGAATGTTACGTTGACGGACTAGACGGGATTGCTGTAAGGGATTATTAATATCAGCAGGCGCCATTCGCAAAGTTTCATGCATTTCTACTCTTGTCGCAGATGTTTCAAGTTGTTGAGCAGATGCAAGTTGAGGGAGGTGAATTTCTTCTTTACCCTCACCCACAAATATAGCAGGCTGCTTAATTTTGTCATTGAGATCCTTTTCTTGTAAAGGAACAGGAGAAATTCTATCAATGGATTCAGCATTCTCAAAGGAACTGGTTCTGCTCAAGGAGTTTGTATGTTGAATTACAGACACCCCACTGCTCGTCCTACTTGACTCTCCTCTCTCTTTTAATGGACTGTGAACCGATTGGATTGGAATTTCGCTGCTAAAAGACAGTGCAGCCTCCAGAGAGTGTTCTGCATTGCTTATGTGAAAAGGTACATTTTTCGCATTGATGCTGTTTGTTTGTGGAATACTGGCAATTGCATTGCTCCCTTTGGATATAACAGCCTTAGCAGCAACTGGATGTGTAGAAGGCTTCTTATTTACCGCTTTATCTCTGGTACATTCACTGGATACCACCTCATCATCATCACCAATGCTTCTAATTTTTCTTCTTTTCCTCACCTGCAGTGGTTGCTCCAGAACCCCCTTTGGCCCCATGACTCTGTAATGCAGTATTTGGGGCTGTGTGCTACGTGACGCAGTTTCCTGTTCTGAATCTTTTGAGACTGTTGGCTTGCTTTTTGGCCCATGGAGTTCTGAACAGTAGAATTTCTTGTGATTTTCGAAGTTCTCTAGCTTTCTGTATCGGTTTCTACAAGTCTCGCACTCGTACATTGACCCTCGGCCTTGCGACTTCTTCATCTTTTCCTGTGTGGGAAATGTGTGCTCAAATGATTTGCTCCTGGGCATCAAAATGTCTGCCAGGTTACGTCTATGATAGTTTTCATCCATAGAACACACCGATGCAAAACTCTGCCCATCACTGATTGATGAATCCTCAACTGCAGTTTGCCTGACCAGGGTTCGCGGATGGGCAGCTTGAAGGGATTTAGATGGGCCAAGAACAAACACATCATCACTGAATGAACCTCCAATTTTATCATCGAATGAATGGCTCTCGCGCAGTGGGTGGGCTGCAGGCATTGTACTGGTCCGTATAGTGGAGTACCCTGGAGTAGCAGGCATTGAATTACTTCTTGTAATTGGTAAGCAGTCAAGAGAAGGAAACTGAGGAGGAACCGATAGAAGAAAAACTTGCTTTGATTTGTCAGTGGGCGTAAAGGGGGACTTTGGTATATCAGAACTGGAGCTTGTTCGCCTTCCAGAATGAAGTGGCCGTAAATCAAATTGAAAGGAATCTTTAAATGTATATGGTTTGGGTGAATCTATACTCCCTCTCCTTGAAAGAGAGGTTCTTCTTGGTTTCACACTATCCAGCTGCTTATCATCTACTACAGCTTCATTGTCTGATATCAACTTGGAAATGCGCTCCTCAAGGGTTTTTGTTGCTGCTGAAATGCGGACAGGAGCAGACAACACTGATGCTTTTTCAGGTGAGCTCAAATACAAAACGGTGGATATGACATGGCTGCTATGAGGTGGACAAGGAAGGATGTTCTTACCAGGATCCATGTCAGTGGTGGCTATCAGCTTTTGGAAAGGACTTATTGGGCTCATTTGCTGATCTGCACTCTCAGAACGCGAGAAGTACCCAGAATCTGTGCTGCCTAAACTTCGAGGGCTTAAATGATGCTTCACTTGCTGTTGCTGAGAAAAGTCGGTAGCTTGCTGCCTCTGAAGCTGTGCATGTCCCATAATCAGCTGAGGTTCATGTTCTTCTTGATGACTCATCCTTATCTGTTCCTTATCTTCATGATCTAGTTTCTGAATTGGTGAAGTCAAGGTTGAGATAGACCTAATCCTTGCAGTCTGTGGATCAGTTTCCTGTTGTGCAGTTGCTCGTTCTGGGGATACGGTCGTCACCTTTGGGCTATCAGCCCTTCGGGGGGAAACAGTCACAGGATACACAACTACTTTCGGTAAAGCTGTCGTTACTTTAGACTCGCAGGATTTCTGTGGTGGGACTGATTCACCAATCTCGCAATCAAAGGTTTGATTTGCCAGTTTGTCTGATGACATGAAATTTACAGGGTCCACATATTTTTCAGAATACAACATATTGCTAGATACTTGTGCAGGCTCTGATTCAAAGTGCTTCTGTTCAAACAATCTTTCTTCAGATGTGGATTCATCATCACTCTCACCACTTTCTTCTACATCTGAGTGAGTATTAAGTGCTCGGTCAGATTCCTGGGACAGCGATGCACCACTGCTCTCGGATCTCAAAACCAAACCAAGTTTGATAGCATGTGCATGGGACTTTTTGTGCTTATATAAATTGCTTTTAGTCTTAAATGAAAATCCACATGTAATACAAGGGTAGGGTCGTTCACCTGTATGGGATCGAATGTGTTTTTGCAGGACACTAGGTTTTGCACAAGCTCGATTACAATACTCGCAAATGTATTTCCCTTGCTTTTTAGGCTTCTGGTCTTTAAGCAAGATATCAGACATTTGGTTATAACCAGGTGCTACCTGAACACAGTTAGGTGGATTAGCTGCTATAGATTGTTTTGGATAACCCAAAAGTTGACTTTGAGGCAGACCGTGTGGCATGACAGAGGCCTGAGGATGACCTAATGGCGTCACTGTTAAATTGTACGTCGATTGATAATAGTGCTTTTCTTGGCTATGCTGGTGTGATGGTGATCCATTGAACCTTTGCGATAAGGCATGGTGTTGATTTTGTTGTGCAGCCGGTGAAACAAATCGGGTTTGCTGGTAGTGTACATATGACGAAGGCTGAACCTGTGCTTGTTCTCTATTCCCTGATTTGGGCACAATCTGAGTAACATTACAATAATCCTGTGATCCTGTGCCAAATTCAGACTTGATCACTGAAGTCTGCTTTAGAACCTGTGAGGTTATTGTTGAGATTCCAGTGGACTCTCCTTGGGTTCCAATAGTGGCATTCGATTTTCTTGAACCCTCTGCAATTAGTGAGGATTTCCTACTTGAAAGAGTCTTTAGTTCAGGTTCCATAGCTTTCAATAAGACATCAAAAGCAGTACTTGCATATGAGGGAGAAATCCCGTGTGTACTGCAAGTATTGTTCTCAGGTTTAATGATCCAATGTTCACGAAACAGAGATAAATGATCAAGCTGATGTTGCGGTCGCTCTTTTGATAATGCGTGAATTTTATCTATTCCTGGTGATTTCACTTTAACATCCCTTTCAAGTTGTTGAGCTCTCCAATTTGGAGGTCTGCTACATGAATCAATTGAGTGCTGCGTTGCTTCAATCCTCCCCTTCTGCATTGATCTGCCTGGTTTGGTTTTCTCAAAATTTTGATTTAGCCCTTGTGAATGTTCTTGCTGAGACTCTCTTTCAGTCTCCACTCCTCCATTTTGCACAAACAAGTGGTCTTTCTTTAAAAGTTCAGAAGCAACTGAAGAATCACTAAACAAAACTGCTGCTTCCAAATTCTCCCTATCATTGCGAGACTTTGCGAGTGTTTTCACAGGAGACCTGGGGATTTTCTTCAGAATGTTTTCAGCCACAATCTTCTTCCTCTTTATACCTTTGACTGTATTTGCTTTTCTTTTGCCTTTCGAGTCATGAAATTCTGTGGAAACATTTAATTCAAGATAATTAGTGCCTCTATATAGCAGTAATGAAGCTGTTACATACATAAGCCTCAGCCTGACTCAGTTGGTAGCACTCTCGCCTCTGAGTCAGAATGTTGTGGGTTTAAGCCCCACATTGGGACTTAAATTCAGCCTATGCTGACACTCCAATGCAGTGAGAATGCTGCATTGTTAGAGATGCAGTCCTTCAGATAAGTCCTTAAACCAAGGTCCTGTCTGCCTGATCAGGTGGACATAAATTCAAAGAGATGGGAGTTTGTCCTGGCCAACAACCATCCAAATAACAAATTGGTTAATAATTCACTTCATGGCTGTTTGTGGGATACTGCTATGTGCAAATTGGCTGCCACATTCCCCCACAAATTACACAATCACTGCACTTTACAGTATATCCCCTCAAGCACTTTGGGATGTCCTCCTGACTTGAAAGGCACTATACTAAATGCAAAGACTACTATTAATATAAATCCTTTGCTTTATTTCACTTTCAAGCTATAATTCTTTATGTAAGAGTTATATAACAAATAGAAAGACTGTACATAAGGTTTATATAAATGTTTAAAGATAACAGAACTATCCATGTGTTTTTGCATTATTGATTTTGTTAAAAATGACTTACAATTCCCAGCCTGGATTAGTTTTTTTTAAACTATAAAAGGATAAAAGAAATATTATATCTCCTGCTCAATGTAAAAATCAGACAGGTCACATTTTGTTATGAATAGCTAAATACAGGGTTCCAAAAAGTCATGATGACTACCGCATTATTTAAAAATATCCCCAAAATATCTTTTTTTAAAAGACGTATTACACATCGTAATGGTATCACGGCTTTTTGATCACCCTGTAAATTCAGAAGGAAAGATCTTGCCTTTTTATAGTGCCTGATTGCATTCAAATGTTTTAAAGCAATCCATAAGTAATGTCTTGTCATGTGTTTTGACTGTTTTTATAGACAAAATGGGTAAAATGACCAGTTATTTTGGAGGAATGTTGGCTGAGACACTGGGATTCATTATTTTCCTTTTTTGGATGGAATCTTTAACATCCAGATGTTGCTTACTCTCTGTCCTGATGTTGCACTCTTGTCCTCCTGCTTCGCCAGGGATTAAGCTAACCTGCAAGCACTTTTTGACAGTGCAAATCAAGTACAATAATCTATTATCACATTGCAAAATTATGCCCAGGGAAGGTAAGGTTTTTTTTAGTGTACATGTGTATCAGAAAGAGAGTAAATAAGGCAGTTCAAACAATTTAGCTTTGTTCATTTACATGTGCCACCTGCAGGCGGAGCACTTCTGTTAAATGAGTGCTATTTGTTGGAACAGTGTGGCTGATCGGATAAATTATCAATTCACAATCAGAGCAAACACTAGCGCTTGTACAAGAGAAATTCTGATCTGTGTAGTCGGACTGGCGTCTAAATCAATTAAAATATTAATTTAGGTTTTAGCAATTGAAAATCGGACCAAAGATGTTCACAGTTGAAATACTGGACGCTGATAAATTAGGATCTAAGATTTAATGCCACAATAAACTACTAAATTTCATTCACTTTGCAACACCTGTCACTTTCTGATATTTCCCAGAAGAATAGATTGGACGCCTCATATGCTTGTAACTGGATTCATCATTTAAAAGGTACCTACGCCCACGCTATCTGTCAAATATTGCATTTCAGAGGACCAATTACTATGGAGTAATATAATAAGTTTTCTGTGCAGCAGCTGAAAACATTTCAACATTGCTCTAAATGTTTTTTTAGCTTCCAGTAAATAGACTTGGCTGTCGAGCCCAACCAATTTTTCCTGGAAGCAAAATGTTTTGCTCATATACTGGAAGTTACATGTCTGGAAACAGTCACTGTACTGGACAATCTTGGAGGCCAAAGACAACTCCAGGCTCCTTTTCTCCATCACCAACCGGCTCCTCCGCCCACCCTCTCACTCCTCGCCCAATCACACCTCTCACACCAACTGCGAGGCGATGCTGGACTTGCTCAATAACAACAAGAAGATTACATTTGTATAGTGCCTTTCTCGTCGGGAGGATATCCCAAGGCACTGGACAGCGTACAGCATTTCAGATCCGAGCTGGGATTGGGGGGGAAGGGAGGGGAGGGGAAGTGGGGTGGCTGATGGCATGGTCCTCAAAACCGAAGTCGAGGAGATCCGCTCAGCTGCCTATGCCCTTCCGATCACTACCCCCTCCCCATCTCTCCCTCACACCCTGGCCTCTACCCATCCCTCCATCCACACCTTCGAAACTGTCTCCCTCTCTCACCACCACTATAACCTGCATGAAACCAACCAGCTGCTCCCTCAACCCCAGCCCCACCCCTCTCCTTACCTCCCAGTTCCACCTCCTTGCCCCTCTACTCACAGACATCATAAACCTCTCCCTGTCCACTGGCACCCCTTTAAAAACGGCTGTCATCATTTTCCTTAAAAATCCTCCCTGGATTCATCCCTGCCCTCAAATTACCGCCCCATCTCCAACCTCCCTTTTCTCTCCAAGGTCCTGGAATGAGTCGTTGCTTCCCAGCTTCCTCTCTCGCCACTCACTTCACGAACCCCTCCAATCAGGTTTTTGTGTTGCCCACAGTACAGAAACAGCTTTGGTCAAAGTGGCAAATGATATTTTATCCATCCGCGACCAGATTTCCCTCTGCCTCCTTGTACTCCTTGACTGAATTCGATACCGTTGACCACTCCATCCTCCTCCACCACCTCTCCTCAAGCATCATGGTTCTGTCCTTCTGATGAAGGGTTGTGGACCCAAAACGTTGACTCACTTTGCTTTCTCCATAGATGCTGCCTGACCGGCTGAGTGTTCCCAGCGACTTCTGTTTTTGTTTCAGATTTCCAGCATCTGCAGTATTTTGTGTTTTGTTACGGTTTTGTCCTTGGCTGGTTCAGAATGTACCTCTCACACCTTCTCCATGTCATCTCCACAAATGGTTTCTCCTCCAGCCCCCGCATCGTCTTGTGTGGCGTTCCTCAGGGCTCTGTCCTTGGTCCCCTCCTCTTTAATATCTATATGCTCCCTCTTGGTGACATCATACACAGACATGGAGGTCAGCTTCCACATGTATGCGGATGACACCCAACTCTATCTCTCTGCCTCCACCCTTGACTCCAGGACCACTGCTGTCCTGACAGAATGTCTGTCAGACATCAAGTCCTGGATGAGAGCTAACCTTCTTCAATTGAACATTAGCAAGACCGAGGCTCTCCTGATTGGCTCCCGTCAGCACCTCCACACCTCAGGCGCTGAAAGCATCACCATCCATGGTTGTACACTCCACCTTACTAAGCCAGACCGGAACCTTGGCATCTTGGTTGATCCTCAACTATCCTTTCTACCCCACATCCATGCCATGACCCGCTCTGCCTTCTCCCCACCTCCGCAACATCGCCCGGCTCCGCCAGTGTCTCACACCACAAGCCACTTAAACCCTCATACATGCATTCATAACATCCAGGCTCGACTATGCAAACACCTTGCTTGTCGGCCTCCCCAATTCCGCCCTCCAATGGCTGCAGAGCATCCAGAACTCGCACCAGGCTCCGTGACCCTATCAAACCCATCCTTGCCCGACTCCACTGCCTTCCCATCACACAGATACAATTCAAGATCCTGGTCTTCACCTTCAAAGCCCTCCATGACCTTGCTCCCCCATATCCCTGCGACCTCCTAACCCCATACCAACCTGCCTGCTCCCTCCACTCAGCGGGCTCCAGCCTGCTTCATGACCCTCTCCTCGCCTGCCTCAACATTGGCGGGAGGGCCTTCAGTCACTCTGCCCCCACACTCTGGAACTCCATCCCGCGGTGCCTCCACCTCGCCTCCTCCCTTGCCTCCTTCAATACCCACCTCAACACCCTCCTCTTCGACAGTGCCTTTGATCACCCTCCTTCCCCCCCTGCCCTCCACTCTCGCTGATCCCAACCCCCAGCTTGGGTCCAAAACATTGATTATCCAGTGCCCTGGGACATCCTCCCAACGTGTAAGGTGCTATACAAATGTAATTTGGTTGTTGTTGTTAAGAATTAATGATAAAACCATTCCTGAAATGAAGGGCTTTCTTCTAATTTCATGAAGCATTTACGAACATAAACATTGTCAACTGCTTCTGGCACACATCTGTTCCTGAAGTATTTTAGTGTACTATAGACTACAAATTGAAAATTAAAACTACAATTTAAGTACACTGTATATTAAGATGCACAGGTTTTGTTAAATGCTCAAAGGTGCATTCATTTTAACATTATTTTTGATAGCTAACAATTACATAATTCACTTTAATGTCAACAGACATAAAGCCAGGCTCAAGGATTTTTCCCTTTTTTGTATACCATGGCAGCCAAAATAAATCAGAGGAGTGGTTGACACACAAAGCATTGCTCTTTGCTACACGTATTGAGACATAAAGATAGTTTTAAGCGCTTTCCCCTTACTTATATACTGTAGCAACAAAAATAAACCACAGCAATGGTTAATATACAACAATATTACTGTTCACTGCATGTATTAAGTCCTATGGGCTTTTCCTTTATAAATAAGAAATTGCAGCAATGGGTAACATATGAAACGAACAAAACCACTGTTAGTTTATCACAACTTTCATTCTCGGCCACAGAGGTACAGCATTCTGAGCCACTCCTACATTTTATTGGATTCTAGTTACATTAACGGACTTAACTTGCAAATTATTTTGATCCAAGGAAAAAATATACTGACACCTTTTTTATTATAAATTATATATACATATATATATAATCCTATAGGCTCTGCTATAATCCTATTTAATATCTATGCTTAATTCCGCAGATTTGTATCTATTAGTTTCACCAGTATTTTAAACACAGCCAGCATATCAGCAATATAAAATTACAGAATCACTTTCTGTGAGAGCCCCGGGTTGCTTACAGGCACAGAAGACAATTCTTGCACTATGCTACATTGGATGGTATAA